GTTATTGATATAGGTGACCAGCAACTATTGTAATTAGACGGCCAATTGGGTTCTCTTCTTTCCCTGATATCGATGGGTAATGTTTGAAATTTTGTTTTAGCCGGTTATTGATATAGGTGACCAGCCACTATTTTAATTACACGGTTTTGATCAAGAATAACTTCCGAACTGGGTTTAGTTGCAACTACAAATATGATGAGGGTGATGAAAATTTGTGGTTAACAATCTGGAGGCTACCAAACGTATCCGCTTCTGCACCATCAATTGAAGACACATGTGAAACAAAGCACCTGAAGAAAATCCACACTCCCAATTAAATCCAAAGATAGAGAGTTGCCAAAAGTACCTCAAAGATCAATATAATTGGATATGATATATCTCCCAAATCTCGCAGAGAAACTCGGTTTGTCGGCAATGTTGATAAATTTTCCGAAGGGTGAAACCCTAATCTGACAAAAAAACTCGGTTTGTTGGTATTGTTTGCACTAATACGCAACCTCCGACAAAAAAACTCTAGTTATAGATTGTAGTGGGGATTAGATTTTGCATATCTTAAAAAGATTTGGTCTATATCTTCAGTTTATGGTCATGAGAGAGGTTAGTGTTTAAGGGGTAACAGGGTAAAAAGACATCATGAATAGTTGCAGGGTTTTTGTCTTTTGGTGTATTGTAAATTATGCTAAAGTTCTTTAGTAGGACTGGAAATTTTTCATTAACTTAAGCAACGTTTCTAATTGAGTTACCTAAGAGCATGCACAGCGGTGTTTTTATTTGCGTTTATTTTCTATAAAAATTATTAAGATATGTAATAGTAGGAGAGAGAGACGGACAACGTCCCTCTGCGGAGAGCTTTTGCAATAACGCAGAGATACCAATTTAGCCAGCTGTTTTCATTTCATCCACTTAAACCCAATTTATAATTTTTGATGTTGTTATTTAATTTTGTTTTTCTAAAATACTAATACATTTATGTATAACAAATTAAGCTGAGAAACTTGCCACTAATGATGCTCTAAGATACGCCTCTTAAAAACACGCGTCAGGGTATTGAGAGGAGAAGGAGGAAGCTGAAGAACACGTTGTAGATTGATTGTAATAATCACCATTCGAAACTTAATGAGTACGTTTTGTCTGCTCTGTCTTCTCCGCCGGCCACTGCGGTGGCGACGGCACTTGCTCCTGGGTTTTGATATCATCCCACTGACGATGAACTCGCGAGCTATTACTTAAAGCGGAAGGTTCTGGGTAAGCCCGTACGTTTCAATGTGATTGGGGATGTTGATATCTACAAGCATGAGCTTTGGGAATAAGCGGGTTAGCTGGGTTCTCTGTATCTGTGGGATTTAGATTTTTTTTTTTTTTTTTTTTGTGAATGTGTTGCTTCTGATTTGGGATTTTTCGTGTTCTGGGCATCTTAAGGGTTACGTCGTCTTACTCAATTCAGGAGAAAGATTTAGTTTTTGTGGTGCTCCGATTCATTTTATGTGAGAGTTTTGTTGCTGATTCTCTGTTAGTATCTTTTACTGTGAACAGCTTAGTTTTTTTTGCTAACCATCTTGTGCTACATTGTTTGCTTGTGTTTCAGTAAAGTGGGTAAAGGTGGTGGTCAAAGGCGGGAGGATAAAATGAAAAGCTGTCGTCTACGACTTTTGGAAAATAATAAGAAATGTTGATTACCCGAAATATATCTCCATCGTTTTTCTTGAAAGAGGAGGAGTATTTGGATCGAATGGAAGGGCAAATAAGGGCAGAAAGTGGGGGATGCTCGACGGAATCCATGGCCGCACAAAAGATGTTTTGTGACTTTGGACTTAGCTCTTGTGATTTGTGAATATATGTATATATACAAAAATATATAAATTGTTCAACGATAGGATATCCTTTTCTTTTCTTTTCTTTACATGGCAGCATCTCACGGTAAGTATTATAATCTATGCACATTTTAAACTGCTCAAGCAAAGTTCTAATATTATACTTTTCTTTTGCGTAATGATGGTTCTTGAAAAAAAGATTCTTAAACATATGTTTTTAATAAATTTTTAATAAAGGGAATATTTTGATCAGACTTTCTCTCAAAAACTCTTCTTGAAGTTTCTGTGATCAATGGTCTAAGTCATGTTATATTAATCCAGAGGAGTACTTGAAGGATCAAATTTCTCAAATCACTTCACTGATTGGACGGTACTGATCTGGAAGATAACAAGCAAGAACAGCAACCGATGGTTCTCTGTAAAAGCCAATCTCAACTTTAATTCTCTGGAACTTCAGTACTGTCTTCTTGTCACGTCTCAAATGTACCTTTTTGCTGTAATGAGGTGGAATCAGAACTTGCTAATTAAGTTGCATTTAAGTGTGGATGAACTAAAAGTTAAGCACTAATTTTGCCCTCTTAAGCGCTTTTAGGAGTTCCTCTCTTCCAATGTAGTAACTTGAGATATGAGAAAGAGATGTTGGATTTCACTGATTAACTCATCTTAAAAAAAGGCAAACATGAAAAAACTTCCCGTGGTACAAAAGTTATGGGTTTTAGGGCATCACAGGACAATTAGTCCAGACAATTCCTTCTTCTTCATTTTGTTGGGTTTTTTAATTTCAAAAAGCTTTTTGTCTTTTAACTCATGTTCGTTATAGCTTATGACTAGTTTTGTGTTGCACATGCAGAAAAGGACAGCTAAAAGAAGTACAGTTGTCGAATCTTGTAAAAGAAAATTCATCAAGCTAGGTAACAAAAGAATAATACAATTGCTTTGCATACAAATCACACAAAATACAATAAACATGTCTTCGTATGCAAAACAAAACATCTTATGATACGAAAGAAAGAGATTCTTTGGATCAGTTTTGCAGGCAAGGTGCACCGAGGAAAAGGAAGGAACCAATGCAAAGGAACACAAAGTTTATGAGAATCCACGCCCAAAGTTTATTTTCAATTTAAAGGAACACAAAGAACCCTAGTGCATTAATCTCGGTTTAGAACCCTATTGCAGCACATCGCACGTCTTTGCTTATAGACTCACCATCTAAATGCCTGTATATCCTTATATATTAAAAGAGAAACATTGTAATAAATGCGTTCACACTATAATTGACACATGTCGGCCTCACAATCATTTGAAAATAAATGCGTTCACACACTAATTTTTTTAAATTCATTATTTAATGTGTTTATACACTATTTTTTTAATAATTCATTTTTCCTACAGTTTTATTTTTTATATTAATAAATTAAAACTTTTTACGTGAAACTAATGAATAATATCTTCATTGTAAAAAAAATTACAAAATCATTAAGATTCGCATCAACTAAAATGTTGCGATGAAAATGTTTGTAGAAATTGAAAGTTTCGTACCTTACCGAAGTTGGTCATGGTTGAGGCTTTAGTACACAATAACAACAAATAAGGTGATTGATTATGAATTAAAGAAGTTGAGGTGAAAAACACAACACGTAAATTTGGATCTTTAGTTTAGTCAAATATTAAAATTTTTATAAAGTTTTCATATCAGATCAAGAATTAGAAACAAAATCAAATTGGTAAAAAAGAAATCAGAAAAGCTTTAAAAAGAAATAAAAATCACAAAATCGATTAAAACAGAATTCAGGTACCAAGTGAAGATGTCACTTTATAATATATATTATTTTTATTTTTTACGGGTACAATTTGATTTTCTTCATATCAAAAAAATTATATTAATTTCTAGGTTCGTTTTATTTTTACTTAATTTTATTTAAGAATTTACTATCATGTGTTATTTGAACAAAAATGTTTTAAATCTTAATTAACGGTATATTCATATATTTATCATCACATTTATATACTTTTACATATACATACATGTACACATTAACATTAGCGACTATATAACTAAATATTCACCACAAGTGAGAATTTCAATTCTTATTGAAGTTGAATTTTTTTTTTAATGTTTTCTTTCACTATCGCTCAAATTGTAGTGAAATATTTTATGTTATTAATTTTAATTTTTTTTCAATTATTATTTAGATTTTATTTGATTTTACTTGTCTTTAGAAATTATAATAGGAAACTATTAGTTCGACATAAAAAATGTCTAAAATTTATATAAACGAAACCAAACAAATAACAATAGTTTTTGATTATCAACGAAAAACATCAAATATTTAAACCAAACAAACCAAAATAAATATAGATCCGGGCAGAGGACATTGTCAGGTGGGGAGTTTGGCTGGGGCGGCACATCTGTTAAAAGATAACGCAGGTGTCTTACCTTCAATTATAACTACAACAACACACGTAATATATTCTCCTCCATAAATTATGCATGAATTTGATTTTCTACTGGAACACACTAATATACTAAACATAAAATTTCTGTCCAAACTATAACTTAAAACTTCGACAACAACTTACTGTCAACATCCCCGTGCTTGCGTGGAGCTACGCTCCTAGTGAAAATAATTAAAAACCTCTAAATAAGAGATTCCAACTAAACACAAAACCAAGATATTTTTTAGTTAAGGTTTTTAATTATATTTAATTAATAAAATAATCATTAAGAAACTCTAAGTAGGGTTGTGGGTTAATCATGCTCTATCAAAGAGAAACATAAAATTTTCTTAAAACAACGCTGATAAGATACTTTTAGGAAAGAATATGCACATGTGGTTTTTTTATGATTGATCAAATGAAAAAAAGAAAAACTAAAATTAAATTTAAAGCTAAATTGTTATTAAAATATTGTTTTTTTCATCAGTAATAAGTCCATGTAGAGTTCTCCACCGTTGGAGCTAAGAATCCATACTGGAACATGAGTTCATCCCAACCAAGGCATAAATTTTAGTATACTTCTTCAATCTTATTAACCATCTCTCATGAGAAGAAACTTCAAACTTAAATAGCCAAGAACTTTACCTTTATGATGATCTTTTTATTTTATGTATATAATTTGATGGAAACTTTTAAACAAGTTATACATTTAAACCCAAGAAAACAAGAGATAGTACTGGAATAGTACAATAATTATTTATGTGTGCGTTTCTTGACAGGAACGGCATGTAACATGTTGGTCTTGTGTAATGTAATACCAAATGTCTCGTCCATGTCCAAATCTTCAAAAGCAACACCATTTGGAAGCTTCCAATCAAAGAAATAAAGAAGTGAAGCAAGCATGAGTGACACAGTCACCACAGCCAAAGGCAACCCTGGACAGATTCTTCGCCCGGCCCCAAATGGTGTTAACTCATAGTCTCTACCTTTCACATCAGTCTCTTTACCCAAAAACCTCTCTGGCTCGAACCGATTCGGATTCTCCCATACTGCTGGATCTCGCCCTATGGCCCACACATTCACCAGAACTTGAGCGTCTTTCGGCACCATGAACCCAAGAACCTTCACGTCAGCTTCAGCTTTACGTGGGACGAGAAATGGAGCAGCAGGATGTAATCGAAAAGTTTCTTTCACAACTGCTTGTAAATACGGCAAGTATGAGATATCAGACTCTTGAACGATACCGTTTTGGCCTATCACACAATCAATCTCGGCCTGAGCTCTGGCTAGTGATTTAGGGTTGTTTAGTAACTCTGCCATTGCCCACTCTAAGGTACTAGAGCTTGTATCCGTGCCTGCTGCAAACATGTCCTGACACATAATCACATATTAAGATTAATAAAATTGCATCTCAAAATGGATACTTTTTTTGCTAGATGGTAAGACATATTATATGTCTTATGGTGATTGTTAAGAACAAACACGAATTAAAATCGAAAAAAATGTAAAGAAATTAGAGAAAATTTGATTGAAGCAAATGCGATTATGAATTTTTATTGGTGCACCGAAATTCAAGTAAATTTCAGATTGAACAGTGATGGTAAGGCTTACCAATAGAAGGTGTTCGATATCGTTATTGTCAAGCTCTGTTTCATCTCCTTCCATGAGGACAAGAAGTGCATCTAGGAAGTCGCTGTCTGAGACATCTTTATAGTTAGTCAATGATTTTTCCGTCATTTTAGCATCAATGAACCCACGGAAAACCCTAAACAATCTCTCCGTGCACGTCTTCATATTTTTCCTATTACCTTGCAGATCAAGAAACCCCAGAAACGGAAAGTAATTAGCTGTGTCTGGTTTCCCAGCAGCTTCCATTGCAGCAATAACTGTGTCCCGAAATCTATTGGATTTGCTTGTCACGTCGTAGCTACCTAGATCTACTGAAAATAGAATGTTCGATATGATATTGAGAACTGTGGTGAAAGATGCACGAGAAATATCAACAGCGTCTTCTTTCTCACTACGCTCATTCATGAAGCTCACAAGCTCTTGCACCTTCTTCATTCGCAGACCTTTCGTGGCTTCCATACGCTGCGGTGAAAACAGCTGAGTTATCGACAATTTCCTCAACATCCTGGAACAAAACATAATAGCTTCGTTACACTATCAATTGAATGTTACTAAATTAAGTAAAGTGCGTACAAAAATACAAGGTTCCGGTATTAACAAATAAACAACCATTTGAATATACAAAAGTGACACAACTAAAACGAAGTGCAAAATAAAATTACAAGGAAGTAGATATGATGGTATAACGGTTAGGTTCCTGTATATTTGGTTTAACAAATTATTTGGAAATAGTAAAAGTAAACACAAAATTCAAACGAAAAAAAAAATATTTATATCTGTCTTTAGTTTACTTTATTTTACATCTAAACAAAAGACTTTACCTCTAAAAGAAAAATTTAGCTAGGCTAGCACTCAAATACAAAATACTACAACTAGAACAATATAACTTTTAGTTTACGTGTTTATGACACTTCGAACTAGTAATTTTTATTAGCTGACTAAACAATAATTACAGCTAGTAACTATCCTTAACTTATTTATGCAATTAACATTTGATCAAAGATTAGTTGCAGTCAGATAGCAAATCTTCAAAAACAAAAGATCCTAGAAAAAAAGAAAGAAAATGGATATTAGTTATACCTCCAACGAGCAGAAGGAGGAAGCCAGATGACTGAAACTTCATGGTGACCAAAGGACCGTATCGAGTCAGTAGACTTACGGCTAGACAATATTTGGTCGTGTGTTCTTAAAACCTCTCTTGCAGCTTCTGGTGAAGATATGATCACGGACTTTAAAGATCCAAGTTTAAGGCTCATTACTGGTCCATAAGTTTTTGAGAGGTCGGCGAATGAGCGGTGTGGGTTCTTACCAACTTGGTGAATATTTCCGATGAACGGTAATCGTGGAGGTCCAGGAGGCAGCGTGGCGGTTAGGCAAGAGACTCGCCGGAATCTTGCGGTGATGAAGACAAGGAAACATGATGCGATCAAGCAAAAGAGCAAGAACGTACTATTTTCTGAAGTGATGCCCATTTGGTATTTTTCAAATGATCGAAAAACGTATCAAAGATGTGTAGTTGACCAAAAGAGTTGTGTATCTGATTATCGAAGGGGTAGGTTTATAAAGTTTATGTCCAAAATATACCAGATTATCTGCTAGTAGGCATTACTTTGAATAATAATTAAAGAAAAGCCACATGATATTTTTCTATTATAGTTTCTTGACTTGGAAACCTTTTTTAATTATATTTCTCTGACTTTACAATAGTTCAAATCGTATTTCAGTTAAAAAACTATAATCAATAACCACAGATTCGACATTGATCTATTAACATACACGAAGATGTAAAGTGTAAATAGTCGATTTGCTGAAAAGCAAAATAATTACTCAAACAATTATAAGAAATGAAAGCATTATGATTATGACTAGAAATCTTACAAATTACACTCAATACAGAGCGTTTGAGAAATGAAATGAATTTTGTTTTTTAATAATAGTTATGTGGCTTGTGACAATCATTTATTCATTCATAAGATAAGTAATAGGTAATATTACAGAAACAAACTTAAAGTGTTTTCAACACAACATCGTTAACAAAACAAAACTATTACAAATATATAACTAGTGGCGGTTCTTTTTAACTGGAACTGCATGTAACGGGTTGGCCTTGCGCAAAGTAATACCAAAAGTTTCATCCATGTCGAAGGCGTTTGGAAGCTTCCAGTCAAAGGAGTAAAGAAGAGAAACAAGCATAAGAGATACTGTCTTCACAGCCAAAGGCAATCCTGGACAAATTCTTCGTCCCGCCCCAAACGGTGTAAGCTCAAAATCTCTACCTTTCACATCAGTCTCTTTCCCCAAAAACCTTTCTGGCTCGAACCGAGTTGGGTTCTCCCACACGTTTGGGTCTCTTCCTATGGCCCATAGGTTCACCAAGACCTGAGCATCTTTAGGCACAACGTATCCTAAAACCTCTACATCGGTCTCAGCTTTCCTTGGGAGGAGAAGAGGAATAGTTGGGTGCAAACGGAAAGTTTCTTTCACAACAGCTTGTAAATAAGGTATTTCTGAGGTATCAGGCTCTCGAACAAACCCGTTTTTTTCTATCATATGTTCTATCTCGGCCTGAGCTTTCTCCATCGTTTTAGGGTTAGTAAGTAACTCTGTCATTGCCCATTCTAGGGTACTAGAGCTTGTCTCCGTGCCTGCTGTAAACATATCCTGACATATAATCACATATTAGTGAGCTAGGAATCTCAGACATAAAAACAATTAATCGTCATGCTTTATACAATCAAACCATCTTACTTTTAACATATCCATCTATGATTTACTGAAATATAAAGATTATTATATATTACCCTAGAAGTCTTGATTATGTGCAAGATAGTTGGACTTACCAAGAGAAGGTGTTCAATATCTGTATTGTCGAGTTCTGCTTCATCAAGAAGCGCATCCAAAAAATCGCTGTTGGAAGCATCTTTTGGGTTATTCCCCAATGATTTTTCCAAAGTTTTAGTATCGATGAACCCTCGGAAAACCTTCAACAAGTTATCTGTAGAGAACTTCATCTTCTTTGTATTACCCTGCAGATCAAGAAACCTAAGACACGGGAAGAAGTTAGAAAGGTCTGGGCTCCCAGCAGCTTCCATGCCTACAATAACTGAGTCACGAAATTCGTTGGATTTTTCCGAGCCGTAGCTGGCGAGATCAACCGAGAATAGAATGTTCGATATGATATTAAGAGTTGTGGTGAAAGATGCACGAGAAATATGAACCGCTTCTTCTCTCTCGCTGCTTTCATCTATGTAGCTCACGAGATCTTGCACCTTTTCCAGCCGCAGAGCTTTAGTGGCTTCAATACGTTGTGGCGAGAACATGTGAGTCACCAATAGCTTTCTCAATAGTCTGAAACGAAACATAACAACAATTGATTACTGTCTTAGTTTTTTTTGTTGGGTTTTATAGTTTGTGTAGAACAAGATTAACAAGAACTTGCTTCTCTTATTAATTCACTTGAGAAAATTCCTCAAAACTCAAGTTATCCAAAACAAACTCTCAAATCCCACAAGGTTGCAACAAACCTGCAACTCTATATATATAGGTTTTATCAATAACCTAAAACACTTCGGATAACTCCTAATCCCTTAAAACAAGCCAAAACAAACTAGGATTAGGATAACTTGCAAATCAAGTTATTTCAAGTTTATCCAACATTCTCCCCCTTAAACTTGAAATCTTCTTGTGACAAATCTTTGACTCCAATCAAACTCCTCATTTCTTTAAATCGAATCTTCCCAAGACCTTTGGTTAATATGTCTGCTCTTTGCTCACTTCCTGCAATGTGTTGAACTTCTATAAGACCCTTATCCACACATTCTCTTATGAAGTGAAACCGGCGATGAATATGTTTTGATCGACCATGGAACACCGGGTTTTTCGACAAGGCAATAGCTGACTTATTGTCGATGAGTAGAACCACCTTTTCATACTCCTTTCCCATGATCTCACCAAGCAAATCTTGAAGCCAAATACCCTGTTTAGCTGCCTCTGTTGCAGCCATAAATTCTGCCTCACAAGAAGATAAAGCAACCGTGTCTTGCTTCTGTGAACACCATGTTATAGGTGAGTCAATGAAGTAAAATACATGTCCGGTTGTGCTTCGTCCGTCATCTTCGTCTACATTGTGGCTTGCATCACTATACCCAATCAACTTTATATCATGAGCTCGTCTGAACAATAGACCATGAGTTAGAGTACCTCGCAAGTAACGCAATACTTGTTTCATTGCAGCAGCGTGAGAAGTCTTTGGGTCCTGCATATATCGACTCATTACACCAACAGAGAATGACAAATCTGGTCGAGTATGCAATAGATATCTCAAGCAGCCAATGCATCTCCTATATTCCTTCTCGTCAATGCTTTGTTCATCTCTGGCCTTAGATAGCTTCAGATTTTGGTCCATAGGTACATAAACTGCATTGCATTCAAACATCCCTGCTTCTTCTAAGATCTTCTTGGCATATCTCTCTTGACTTAAGCTGATTCCTTCATCATATTGGTAGACTTCAATGCCTAAGTAGTACGTCAACTTCCCCAAATCACTCATCTCAAATTTCTCAGACATTTCCCTCTTAAACTCTGCAATTTTGCTGACACTAGTACCAGTGATCAAAAGATCATCAACATACACTGCTAGAAGAAGCAAGTGATCTCTGTCTTCTCTTCGATACACTGCAGGTTCTTTAGTGCATTTAGCAAATTTCAGTTCCCCAAGTACCTTGTTTAACTTCTCATTCCATGCTCTTGGAGCTTGACGCAAACCATAGAGAGCCTTCCTTAGTTTGTACACTTTCTTCTCTTGTCCTGATACAACAAATCCTTCTGGTTGGGAAACGTATACATCTTCCCTCAGATCACCATGTAAGAAAGCGGTTTTGACATCTAGGTGATGTACTTGCCATCCTTTTGATGCTGCCAAAGCTAGGAGAAGTCTCACGGTTTCTATTCTGGCCACGGGTGCGAATACTTCCTCAAAGTCAATTCCATGTCTCTGAATGTAGCCTTTAGCAACTAACCGAGCTTTAAATTTGTTGATACTGCCATCTGCGTTTCTTTTTATCTTGAAGATCCATTTAAGGCCAATGGCTTTTGCCCCAGCTGGAAGATCAACAAGGTCCCATGTTCTGTTCTTGATGATTGACTTGAGTTCATCTTCACAGGCGTCTCTCCATACTTTTTCCTTCTTAGCTTCAGCATAAGTCCACGGTTCATCATTCAAACTCAGTAGTAATCTTTCTCCCTCCAGTTCGGCCATCAAGATATAATCGTCAAGGTATCCTGGCATCTTTCTTTCTCTTTGTGATCTTCTTAACTGTGGCTCACCGGAATCATTAGTATCACTTTCTTCACTTTCTTCTTCTTGTATAGTTTCAAATTGATCTTCTGTTCTTTCTTCTTCAGTTGCAGTGATGTCAGTAAGGTCAGGGCTTATACCATGATTCCCAAACTGACTGATATCAATACGCAGTACACCAGATTCCTTGCTTCTAGCGCAAGTGTTCCAGTCCCAACTCTTACTCTCGTCAAACAGGACATCTCTACTAACCACCACTCTTCTGCTCTTGGGATCATATAGTCGATACGCCTTTGATCCTGGTTCTGTCCCAAGGTGTACAAGCATGCGAGATCTATCATCTAACTTCTTGAGATGGTGAGATTCAACCTTTGCATAACCAATGCACCCAAAGATACGTAGATGTTCAATGCTCGGTTTCTTGCCTTTGAGTAGCTCATATGGTGTCTTGCCTTTTATGACTCGAGTAGCAGCTCTGTTTATAATGTAAGTGGCGTGTCTGACCGCTTCTCCCCACAGAAAGTTTGGTAGTTGCATGTGTTTAAGCAAACTTCTGGTCATATCAAGTAGAGTACGGTTACGCCTTTCCACCACTCCATTCTGTTGAGGACTGTAAGGAGCTGTTAAATGTCTTGTGATTCCATGTGATTCACAAAAACTTGTGAATTCATTAGACACAAACTCCCCTCCTCTATCTGTTCTGAATGTCTTGATAAATACCCCTGTTTCTCTTTCTGTAATGGCCTTGAAAGTTTTGAATTTCTCGAAAGCTTCACTTTTCTCTGCAAGTAGTATTGTCCACATATACCGAGTATGGTCATCAATAAGAACAAAGATATACCGTTTCTTGGAGGGTGTGGCTGGTGTTATTGGTCCACAAAGGTCCCCATGTATCAAACCAAGTATGTGTTCAGCTCGATATGATGTAGATTGAGGAAATGTATGTCTTGCTTGCTTCCCAAGTATACATGAAGGACACTGAATCTTTTCAACCTTGAACTCTGTTAAGCCGTGTACGAGTCCTTTACTTGCCATTAACCTCATAGCTTCTCTCCCAATATGACCCAATCTTGCATGCCATTTGTTGAATTCACTCATAGTTGTAAGCTGTAGACACCTTTCATCGTTGTTAATACTCACTTTATACAACCGGTTCCTGGAGCGCTTTGCTGTGATGATCATCTTCCCATCCTTGTCTTTCAAGGTAAGATAGTCATCTTTCATTCTGACGTCACATCCAGCTTCTGTAGCTTGTCCTAGACTGATTATATTGCTCCTAAGATCCGGTATATAGTAGACATCAGTAAGTATTTTCTTTCCTCCATCTTTCAAACAGAACAGGATTGGTCCTTTTCCTCTTATGTCGACTCTCGAGTCATCACCAAACCTAACTTTTCCAGTGACTGTCTCATCTATGGACTTGAAATACCTACGGTTTCCAGTCATATGATTACTTGCCCCATTGTCCAAGTACCAAACCTTGTCACTGTCTGAACTAGACATGAACTCCTGTGGGTTTACGTTTCTTTCGTTGAGATAGACGATTTCGTGCATCATAAGTTCCTCTGCTTCTGTGGTGTCTGTGTCTCTTTCCCTTGCATCCTTCGTTTCTGTAACCTCTTGTAGTTTAAGGAGACGATCAGGACAAACGGACGCAAAGTGACCCATCTTGTCACACCTAAAACACATGATCTTTGTCATATCGAATGGTTCTTGATAGCCACGATCATTGTATCTTCCTCTACCTCTTCCTCTGTAGTTGTTGCGTCCTCCACGTCCTCGTCCTCTATAGTTGCTGCTGTAATCACGGTTTGTGAATGGTTGTTGAGTTGTTTGTTGTGACTGAGATTCTTTATTAGCATACATAAGCTTGCTCTGAGTCTCCTCTTCTTCTTCATCCTTGATTCGTTCCTCATATGCTTTGAATCTCCCAACAATGCTCTCAAAACTTGCCTTTTTAAGATCCACAAACTGTTCCACTGTTGCAACCATCTGAATGTACTTCTTTCGTGGCAGGCAAGCTAAGAATTTCTTTATGAGTTTGGGTTCTTCAATGGTTTCTCCTAAAGCAGCTGCCATTGATGATAGTTCGGTTAATTTACTAGCAAGTTTGTCAACCGTATCATCATCTTTCATCTTTAGTCTCTCAAGGTCTGATGCAAGTGTCTGTAACCTTGCTTCTTTTACTAGATCTGCTCCAAGATATCGTTCTTTGATCGCATCCCAAACTTTCTTTGCTGTGTCCAGATTACCTAGTTGCAGAATTAGTGACTCCGGTAACGACTGGAATATTAAGGCTGTAGCTAGGTCGTTCTTTTCACCATCTGTTGATTCTGTTTCTACCAGATCCCATACCTTGTTGATTTTTAGCACAAGTCTGATTCTGATAGTCCATACCGCATAGTTTGTTTCGGTAAGAACCGGACAACTTATTTTGGAGGAGCTTCCTCCTTCTTTTGCTTTAGCGACAACAATATCCCCCATTGTTCTGGTTTGATCGTTTGTAAAGCTCTGATACCAAATATAGTTTGTGTAGAACAAGATTAACAAGAACTTGCTTCTCTTATTAATTCACTTGAGAAAATTCCTCAAAACTCAAGTTATCCAAAACAAACTCTCAAATCCCACAAGGTTGCAACAAACCTGCAACTCTATATATATAGGTTTTATCAATAACCTAAAACACTTCGGATAACTCCTAATCCCTTAAAACAAGCCAAAACAAACTAGGATTAGGATAACTTGCAAATCAAGTTATTTCAAGTTTATCCAACAGGTTTCATTTTAATGTTTGCATTCATAAATTATCAGGTTAATTATTTTGTTTACAAGCATCATTAATTTTCCCTTGCTAACTAAACTTCTCCTGTTATAACATGTAAAAAAAAAATTGAATTACAATTCTATACTATTATTTGCAAAGTGAATTTTCGGATCCCGGCTCTCACGTTAAAAGTTACAGCAATTAAAGTCATTGTTACCCTTAATGATCTATATATATAATTTATTATATAAATAAAAATGAAATTTATATTAATAATATTTGATTTATATGTTAGATTCGATAATTGATCATAAATTAATATAATAAACTTGGCTGAAAAAAAAATTATCTATAAATAATCAGATAAATCTTATATATGATTATCTATTATCCAAAATAATATTTTCAATCGTAAAAGCAAACTAGATTTTGATCCACGCTTTCAAACCGCCGGTAATCTACTGTTTAATCATGAGTATTTGGATCGTCGAGTCCGGTTTGGATCGAGTCTTGTCGGGTCCGGGTCTTTCGGGTCCTAGAAATTTGGACCCATATAGGTACCTATAAGTTTTCAGGTCGGTTTCGGGTCGCATCTTGTCGGGTCCGTTGGTTTGGGTATACTGTCGGGTCGGTTCGGATACTTAGGACCTGAAAAGGATCCGAATGACCCAAACTGGATCCAAAAACCCAAAAATACCCGAGAACTCTAAAACGCCCGAAGAACTGATATCTTGTGTATTTACATGTTTTAAGCTTCATTTTAGCTTTCATTTTAAGTTTCTAGATACATTTAGAGTGCATTTAGGTTGCATTTAGGTTGCATTTAGGTTGCATTGCATTACTCTTGTCTAAATCAGGTGTAAGAGATCTTTTGTGGTGATTTTGGAGACAAAGGAGCTCTTTTGGAGTCAATTTGGGAGATTTGTGCTCGTTTCACGTCATCAGCTTAAGTGCCATACCGACACCAGCGTAGCAACTTGCCTAAGTCGTTATGAGCACCGTCGAGATTCCATAGTGACATGTGTAGCGGCTTGTCTAAGTTGTTACGGAAGTGAAGGACAAAACCCTTGAAAATGATCAAGTGCCATAGCGACGTCTTCGTAGCGACTTGTCTAAGTCGCTATGAGCACCCTCGAGTTTCCATAGCAGTATGTGTAGCGACCTGGAGATGTCGCTACGAACTCTCAAGACCGAAGCTCAAATTCGAAAAGTATCATAGCGACCACGGCGTAGCGACTTCATCAGGTCGCTATGAACCCCCACGAGCCAGCATAGCGACTACCGTAGCGACTTGGATTGGTCGCTACAGATTCTGAAGACGCGACCAAACCGTAACGACCAGAGCGTAGCGGGATAGGCATGTCGCTATTAAAGAATCATTCTGCCTTTTTATTTGATTTGCCCTACTTGTTTTGGGATTAATATAGATATCCTTAAACCTTATTTTAGGGATCTTATCTTGTATTTTCTCTCTGAAACTAAGTACTATGTGGTGAAACATCATTACTTTATCTTCTTTTCATCTTATTCTCTTAAGTTTGTTGAGTAATCTTGATCTCTAATCATGTTTAACCAACAATTAACCATTGTTGTTGAGTTAATCATGTGGATTAGTGAGTAGATTCATTTTAGATTCATGGGATAGGTTGGTAAGGGTGATCAAGTGTAGATCTAAGGTGTTAGGTGTTAGATCTAGGTGTTTCCTTGTTAGTTGAGTGTTTTAATGCTTGATTATTGTTAGCCTCTTTAATCATGATCATTAGCCATTTACCACCCATAAGGTGTTTGTTTAAATGTCTAAACCAACTCTCATAACTTTAAAACCACCTAGCCAACGACCATTTGTATCTAGGGATTTTTAAATAGTTATTAAACTTATTCTTAATGATTGTTTGAAATGATTAAGCCAATGACCATTTGTGTTTGATTAATGAAACCAATTGAGCACTTGTCTAGACCTAGAATTTGCTTAGCTAAGTTGTTTAGACTTAAGGAACACATCTTGTTTGAAAGCTTGCTACCTAGGATTGAATCTTGATCACCTAAACCATATACATACTCCCATTAGTTTTACCTTCACTAATTGAGAGAAAGCTTGTTACTTCTTGTATTTTGTATTGTTTTTAAATCATTTCACACTCTCTAAACTGATTGCATTTAGATTAAGCATAACTTGTAATTTGTTTGAATCAAAACACTTAGAACTTGTATTGACATCTAAAATACTACTTTGATTTGCTTAAAGATTAAAAACCCTTATCAAGAACCGCAAACATATCTGAAAGTTTATCCAAAATCAGGCCCAAAAATTCAAAAAAATACCCAGAATTTTACCTCGATACCGGAATTATATTTTTTTGAAAATCTAAAATTTTACCTAAAACCTAATTTTATACCAGAAAATCCAAATCTAAAACTTTAAAAAATACCCGAATTATCAAAAATATACGCAATCACCTAAATATACCTAATATATACAATAACTTGTGGGTACTTCGGGTACCGATCGGGTTTCGAGTAGGACCCCCACCCGAACCGAGATCCGCGGATCCAAACAAAAAAATACCCAGCAGATACTTTAGCATGGACCCGAACCCGGACATGAACCTTCGTTTTCGGGTCGGTTTTTGTTTGGGTCTTCGGGTCTGGATTAAATGCACATGCCTAATTCTGTTGATGAACTTCTAAACTTACAAATATATAGTTTTTTTGTATAGATTTGAAGCCCGTTTCGTTTTAAATAAATGTTAAAATTATTGGATTTTTAATGGGCGATTTTCAGTTGGGCTTTTAATAGAAAATTTTCATTAAAAATAAAAGGAAGTGAGATGTTTTGTAATTTTCTTTAAAAATCAGGGTCAGAACCCCAAAGAGATTCTGCTTTAATAGTATAGATAATAAAATAATGATGCATGATTAAATAATAATCAAGCAAAATAATAATAATACATGTTTTAAGATTGATTATTTAAACCCTTAATGAATAAAATATATTAATTACTAGCTCAAAAATAATAAAAGTTAATTAAGAAATCTATTTGATTAGATAAGTGACTAAATCAGTAATAAGAATAATTATCCATTATCTAAAATATATTTTAAAATAAAAAAGACAATTATTATATATATATTTGTTGTTCTCCGAAAAATATATTTTAGTAAAAAGTTTAAAAATTTAAAAACAGAAAAACGCAACTAAATTTTAATCAAATAAAATTTTAAATTTATATTATTGAAAAGATAATATTGAGTGATTTTTAAAATTTATTTATTAAAAATGAATATGGTGTACAAATAAATTTCAAAATAATTATAATACTTAAGAATTTTCAAATAAGAACATAAATAATTATTTATTATTATAATCTATTAATTAGTAATGTATTAATAATTAATTATAAAATATTTATTTCTGCATGGGCGGACAAAACATCTAGTTACAAACTAATATGTTTAAAACATTATTAATTAGTGTGCATATTGAAAATATTTTGTCTAGGAAGATAAACGAAAATATACTACAACTAAAAATTGGGTGGTCATTATTTTGCGTTTATAATCTAAAACTTATAACTAAAGTGTATTTTCTTAAAAATGTCGATAAAATAGTCTAACTACTAAAAGCCAACATACGACACATGCAAGTACATGCATTTGATCGAAACCATCCAACATTTTAGTAGCTAAACACGAGAGTAAATAAAGCAAAAAAAAACTCACAAGAATCGATAATACGTAGATTAATTATACCTCCAACGGGGCGACGATGGATGAAGCCATCCAACGGAAACCTTGTCGTGATTGATGGACCGGATCGAGTTAGGAGGGTCACGACCAGACAAGGTTTGATCGTGTGTTTTTAGAACCTCTCTTGCAGCTTCTGGTGAAGTTACGATCACTGTGTTTAAACGTCCAAACTTGAGATGCATGATTGGTCCATATTTTCTCGAGAGGTCTGCGAATGAACGGTGTGGGAGTTTTCCGACTTGGTGAATGTTACCTATGATCGGTAAGCGTGAAGGTCCAGGAGGCAGCATGGCGGAACGGGTAGAGATCCGTAGGAATCTTACGGTGATGAAGACAAGGAAACATGTTGATGAGATCAAGCAAAGGAGCAAGAACAGGTTTTCTGAGATAATTTGCATCTTTATTTTCTCAGTTGATAGAAACTGCAAAAAGTTGTCTATTATATATATCGTACTTTTAGTTTCTAGAACTAGTAAGTTGGTATTATATATATGTGATATCTTATGAAGTTGGTAATATATTATACAAACTTTTTTTGAATAAACTATTTAGGTATAAGTAAAGAAAATAACATAATGAAAATTTATTACAGCCTTGGAGATCCATACTATACACACAAAAAAATGCATTTTTTTATATTTTCAATGCATTATCTAATGGTAAACTATAAATTTTGAAAAAAATAATTATGTTTATAAAAATATTATGTTTAAAAATTATATAATATATTTAATTATAAAAAATAATGCATTGATATCAAATTTTAATGTTTTTAATATGTGTTAAAATTCTGAACATACATTTTGAAACGGATGGAATATTAAATTATATGTGGCATTTGGGAGTTGATTGTTTGGTTAACTGTCAGTTTAGCAACTCTTACTGATTAATAGCAGTTAATGCATTTGTTTGACCATATGCATATCACAAGGTACTTAATTGTCTTTGATGATGAATAATGAATTCTTGTTTGTGTTAATATGGGATCAAATCCAAAAGAACCCAATGAATACAAGGGGTAAGAGATTATTGAAGGTATTTGTGTTTCAACTGATTTCATCTCGATCATCAAATTTTGATCCATGTCTATTCATTTGAATATTCGGTAAAAAAATATATCCAGTTTCAACGTAAGTTGAAGTATATATATATTTTAAAGGTGTTTCTCTCAAATAGACATTTTAAAGTTTTTCTTTCAAAAATAGACCTCAAAAACTAAAATGACCCAAATAACATTTTTTATTTTGATTTTTTTTTTTAAATTTTTTAAAATTTGAAATCCTATCCCCAAAACCCCACTCCTCAACTCTAACCCCTAAACTCTAAACCCTAAACTCTAAATCCTAACCTTAAACCCTAAACCCTATCTTTTAACATTAAACCCTAATGTCGGGATTTATTAACCCTAGAGGTATAAGTATATATTTACTTCTTTTGATAAAGCATTTAAGTCTCTTTTGGTCATTTTTTTTAAATACTATATTTGTGACAAAAACTTTTTTAGGTCTATCCTAGAAAATTCCTCTATTTTAACTCAATAGCCGAATGGATTTATATGAATAAAATAAAAATAGAAATCTAAAAATATACAAAACTAATAGTAATAGTTATTACAAAAATAAACTAGTGTTTACTTTTTAAAACTCTAATATTTTTATAATAATTCTAATAAATAAAACTTGTAAAACTTACATAAAAATATAATAATTATATAATTTAATACAATTCTATTTTTTTTTTAAAATATAAGAGCTTTGATTTTCTTTGTTTTTAAAGAATATTGAACATTAAATATTAGTATTTACTTTATTCCGCATAATTATGGATACCTAAGTTTTTATGATCAGAAAAATAAATAACAGTTCAGATAGTTTTTATGGATATATTTTCTAAGGCTGAGCACATAGCCAATACTCAGTAAATTATATATACTAATACTCAGTTTAGCTTGTTCAAACAATCAAATTTATTATTTGTTCTTGAACCGTATAAAAGTGTACTTATTCTATCAAGTAATCGTTAAAAATGGAATACATGCAAGCTATTCGATCAATTTTATTACTTACTAATTTTTCTTACTTAAGTTTAAAATACTTGAATCTTTTAGATGAATATAAAATACTTGAAGGTTATTTATCTACGAATAATACCTTTTGGCTAAAATTAACTTACTAGACTTTTATATTTAATGTGTATTTGATTTAAAAACTATAAATTTAACATTTTTAATGAATATAATTTTCATTATTACATAAAATAACGAATAACAAGTAGACAAATCGAATAGTAAGAAGAAGTTAAAGATAACGGAAATTTAACTTGTCGTTAACAACAATAAAATTAAGATTTGTTATCCGACTTAATAATTGCACGTAATTTTTTGTCGAGCTGTATACATCCAATATTAAGTACAAACCGAATAACGAGTAATTACGCCCAGTCCTAGCTCTAAGGAGCTAACTTTAATGAATACTTTGAGATATTAAAATGTAGAAATCGTTTGATTTTATATTTTCTGCTTACTCTCTTTTATTTTTCCGTTTTTAGTACATGTTCTTCTAACGGAATTTTTTATTCCATACTAGATTATGTTTTAATTTTCTATGTAAAAATCATCAACAAGTAATGTTAAATGATCCATAATATAATATCTTATATTTTCTTATTGGTCGAAGAATGTTTAGGTGAATAACTAATGCTATCCAAAATGCCATTTATATTAAAGTAGGAACATTCGTACAAACTAACCTTAATCTCATGTATTATTATCTAAAATGCCATTTCCCATATGGCACTCCCACAATCACTCTCACATTCTATGTTTAAAAATTCTCTCTTTACTAGATTAATTACATACATTGTCACTATTCATTAATTTATAGCATTACATAATATACTATATGCTTCCTAATTAACAAAGCTGACCAATCGGTTTAATTATATGCATGCAAAACCGGTTATCTAAGAATGGCAGTGAAATTACAGTAAAAAATTACGTACTTTATTATATATCATTAAATACTATTTCTCATATACCACTTCTCACATGCAAAAAATTACACTCCTATAAATATAAAATGATCCAAAAGTTTTACTCAATAGATCAATTTCTTTGGGTTTGGCTCCATTCCATTTTGATGAATTATTTCTACGATATAAGTAGTTTGTTCAACTAAAAATTCCAAATTCATTTGTATTATTTTGACATTATAAACATTTATATATAGAATAATCATATGTTATGTTATTTTGGTTCACTATAATTTTAATGTTTTGGAATTTTGAATATTAACAGAAGACGAACATCATCAATGTATTCTCATTTTTTAGGTCATATGAAGAAAGATTTTTATATATCCAGTTGTTCATCATTCTTTTTATTAACTATTCACAAAGGAGACCATTTTTCGTAGTTTATTCTTAATAGAAAAAAAGAAAATCAGCATAAGTTTATTTGTTTTCCATTCCATCTTAATCAATATCAAGACTAAACTTGGTATGCAATTCAAATAGATTGGCAGAAGTTAAGAGCAATATCAATGTCAACAACATATTTAGTTATTGTTTTTTATATTTTTCAATAAGAGAATAATTTTCTTTCCTAAAATACACATCGATTTTCATTCAGCCATAAAGGTTATTTTCATAGTTATGAATAAAAATTATAAAATACTTTATTAAGTTTCCTATACTTTTAATTGGATACTCAATCATAAAACATAACAATTTCGAATGAAATTTAATCAAAACATCAAATTAATGCATGATTGAATCATATTTTTTTGGGTCTATGTATCTAATTCGGTACACAATTTTACAAATATGGTATAACCTGATTGAGTACTAATTAGTTTACACACCTTCCTTTTTTTCGTTATCAATAATTCAGATTTCCTTTCATCACATTAACCCTAGCCAACAAATCCTTTTGTATATTAGGGTTGGGTTCATCAATTTGATCCATTTTTAGAAGGAATCACCAAATTTATGTATTTGAGTTAAGACATTAATATATTGCGGTGGCTTGTGGTGGACGGTGTAATGATTTTAATATATTTTAAGGAAATTATTTATAGATTCATCCACTAATTTAAGCATATTAATTTAGGAAATAATTATCTTTCGGATTTTTAGAAGGAAAAGTTTATATGGGAGTAAATATATTTTACATTAGAACCCTATGAAATCATGTTCTAGATTCATCTATGAAATCAAGAATTTTCAGATTATGAAAGGACTGACGAGTCGAACACAGAACCCTTATATATTAGTTGAGGAATGTTGGCGTCAAAAACGGTAATCTCGAAATCAACGTCTACGATTACTTCTCCTTATGTTCTCCGAAAGAACCTCGGATCAAGAAGATGAGAAACGACCGGAGCTGACCAAGGCCGATCAGCTCGCCAAGACGGCGAGCTGGATGGACCAATCCAGCTCGCCGTCATCCAGCTCGCCAAGACGGTGAGCTGAACGGGCCAATCCAGCTCGCCGGCTTGGCGAACTGACCAAGGACGATCAGCTCACCAAGACGGTGAGCTGGATGAACCAATCCAGCTCGCCGGCTTGGCGAGCTGACCAAGGACGATCAGCTCGCCAAGACGGCGAGCTGGACGGACCAATCCAGCTCGCCGGCTTGGCGAGCTGACCAAGACCGGCTCGTCGGCTCGGCGAGCTGGTCATACCACCCGCACAATTTCCCGTTGATCGGCCAACACTAAGTACATGCCCTTCGACTCTATCATACTCTGAACCGTGATCGGAACATCTCTTGTTTCCTCTCGATCCGTATTCTCGTTGGAACTTTACGATGAAAACCGCTAAAGACTTGTTTTCTCGTAAAGACTCGAGTAAATCGTTTAAAGCGGTAAGGGTTAATGAAACACCAGAAGTTACCAAACTATACACGACTGACTCGAGATGTTTTATAAAAACACCATCGTATCATGGAACGATCCCGTCTGAAATCATAAAATGCAAATCGGCCCAAAATATCCTAAAACGCGAAAAAGGCCCACTTATGATTTTAGATAAAGTCCAGCCCAAGGATATGATGAAGGTTTACCCATTATTCGCAGAAATAGACAAATGTCAAGTTTGAAGATAAAATAATAGTTTTCCAAGGATAAATTGGAGAACGAGATAAATGGAAGATTTCCGATCAACACGAATATGGGCGGAAAAGGAAAGAACAACCGCCTAGAGGAAGAGTATATAAGCAAAAGGTCAAAGCCAAGAAGAGGAGCAAATTTTTAGACCTAGAAAAACTTCTGTTAGCTTAGACGAATTTAGGACTTAGGTGGCTAGACTAGCAAGTTGGATTTTTAGAACGTTTGGTTGTCTAAGTTCTCAGGTTCTCTTTGTTGTACGACTTTCAGTCTCTTGATTCACATCTCTATTA